CCCTCTCTCCATCCCTCTCTCCATCCATCTCTCCATCCCCCTCCTCCGTCTCCATCCCTCTTTCATCCCTCTCTCCATCCATCTCTCCATCCCCCTCCTCCGTCTCCATCCCGCTTTCATCCCTCTCTCCATCCCTCTCTCCGTCCCCCTCCTCCATCTCCATCCCTCTCTCATCCCTCGCTCCGTCCCCCTACTCCCTCTCTCCATCCCTCTCTCATCCCTCTCTCCATCTCCATCCCTCTCTCATCCCTCTCTCCATCTCCATCCCTCTCTCATCCCTCGCTCCCTCCCCTACTCCCTCTCTCATCCCTCGCTCCCTCCCCTACTCCCTCTCTCCATCCCTCTCTCATCCCTCTCTCCGTCTCCATCCCTCTCTCATCCCTCGCTCCGTCCCCTACTCCATTTCTCCATCCCTCTCTCCATCCCTCTCTCCATCTCCATCCCTCTCTCCATCCCCCTCCTCCGTCTCCATCCCTCTCTCCATCTCCATCCCTCTCTCCATCCCTCTGTCCGTCTCCATCCCTCTCTCCATCCCCCTCCTCCGTCTCCATCCCTCTCTCCATCCCTCTCTCCGTCCCTCTCTCAGTCCCCCTCCTCCGTCTCCATCCCTCTCTCTCTCTCCGTCCTCTCTCAGTCCCCCTCCTCCGTCTCCATCCCTCTCTCCTCCTCTCTCTCTCCTCCCCCCTTCCTCCTCTCCATCCCTCTCTCCCTCCCTCCGTCCCTCCTCCGTCTCCATCCTCTCTCTCCCCTCTCTCGTCTCCTCCCTCTCCATCCTCCATCCCTCTCTCCGTCCCCCTCCTCCGTCTCCATCCCTCGTTCCTCTCGTGACGACGGTGGTGTGTCCTGTTGCCATGGTTACGCTCTCTCTCCTCTCCTGGAGTCTGAGCCGAATGCAGATCAGGCGCTCGTTTAAAACCAGGCGGCCAATCACGTGCCGGCGTGAGGGGGGAGTGGGCGGGTGACGTGTTTGAAAGAGCCAATCGCGTGTCGGTGTTGTTGTGGAGAGGGCGGGACTTGGTTTTGTTGTTTTTTGTTGTTTTTTTTTTTTTTTTTGGTGAGAAACAACGTGATGAACTCCTCTGACCCTCTCCTCCTCTTTCTCCTCCTCTTTCTTTTTTTCTCTCTCTTTCTCATAAACATTCATCGTTTGGAGAATAAATTGTTTTCTGATTGGCAGCTGGAACGGCCCGTTGACCCGCCCCCCTCCTCTCCTGCCGTCCTCTAATTGGTCGGTGACAGATGACTGACAGTGATGAAGCGCAATGGGAGCTCTTAGAGATTTGTTGTTGTTTTGGATCGGTTGCGTGTGATTGGACGGTGTTTGGAGCAGACTGCGTATGATTGGACGATGTTTGGAGCAGACTGCGTGTGATTGGACGATGTTTGGGTCAGGCTGCGTGTGATTGGACGGCGTTTAGGTCAGGCTGTGTGTGATTGGACGGTGTTTGGAGCAGACTGCGTGTGATTGGACGACGTTTGGAGCAGGCTGCGTGTGATTGGACGATGTCTTGCTCAGGTTGCTTGTGATTGGATGGCGTCTGGGTCAGGCTGCGTGTGATTGGACGGCGTCTGGTGTCCAGAATGATGAAAATTAGGACAATTTACCCTCTCTCTTCCTCTTCTCTTCTCCCTCTCTCCTTCCCTTTCTCTCTCTCTCTCTTTTCTCTCTCTCTTCCCCTCCTCCTCCTCCTCTCATCCCTCGTTCCTACATTAAATATTCTTCTTTTCCCCTGTGGTATTCCTCTCTTCCTTCTCTCTCCCTCTCCTCTCGCTCCCTCTTTTCTCCCTCTATTTCTCCTTTTCTCTCTCCATCTCTCTCCCTCCCCTTTTCTCTCTCTCCCATTCCTCTCTCTTTTCTCTC